TAGATACCTTAATGTCCCATACAAATGTCATTGATTTAGACGAAACAAGATATATATTATTTCATCCCCATACCAGACTGAAACGACTAGAAACCGCCCGACGTTTTCGACTACTGCAGCACTTACTAGACAAACGCTCTAACCTTTCAATCAATTACAAACGACTCATATATATGACAATAATAAGACCTATTTGGACTTGCGGAATTGAGCTTTGGGGCTCCACTAGACCATCTAATTCATCTTGTATCCAATCCTTACATTCCAAAATCCATCGTAAAATCCTCGACGCTCCTTACTTTGTCACAAATAAAATCATCCATAAGACCTTAATGTTCCATATGTTTCCAATTTGGCCCAATCCAGATACCCATCCTTTCATAACAAACTGCAGAACCATCCGAATCCTCTCGTAACCCTCCGAGGCGTCTGAAAAGAAGATGGCCTCGGGACCTTCTAATATAGAACTTTAATTTGAGTTCTACCAATGGGTAGTTTCTTTTCATGTTGTGCATGTCATGTTAGCAATGTCACATTTACTTGTTGTATTTTCCATGTAATACAGTTGTAAATTTCATTTAAATAAAAAAAAATTTATTTCATGATAACTCTAGTCTCATTCAAATCTACTTGTTTCCATCCTTGCTCCTTCCTCAATTCCTCATGATCCTCCTAGGATTCTGAAAACAAGATTGCCTCGTGATCTTCTTACTTAGAATTATTTAGAGAGTGCTATCATTGGGTAATGTCCCCACAAGTCTGATCATGTCATTACTCTTGATTTGCTCATATTTACTAGTTGAATTTCTTTAGTACAATTGAAAATTTCAATAAATAAATAAAATAATATTTTATTTCCAAAACATTTTTTTACGTGTTATTGGTTTATAGAATAATTATTTCTTATATTCTTATAATTATTTTTTCTCTGTTATGAAATTCTGTAATAAACATATATATCGTTTTTTTTCAAATTTTGCAAATATTTTAACATGTTTGTTATATTGATAATTTGCGTGATTAATAACGATAAGTTATAAAGCTTTTTACTAAAAATTAATATTGCTATAAATAACAATATATTCACACACGAATATTATTTTCAAATAACCGCTATTTTGTTGCGAGGCACAACATGTTAAGTTAAATTTTGAATAAAAAGTTTGATTTTTAACAATGTTTTGGCAAGTTGTTATAAAAATCTGGTGCGCGCGTCGCCCAACTTTCATCTACCTCTTTGAACATAAATTATTGTCAAAATTGGACTATTGCAAAGCGTTTTTAAAGTGTACTTTTAATCAAGCAAGGCTTTAAAGAATACATTTAAGAATTTCGTTCATATTTAACAATACGAAAAGTCACTAAGACTATCAAAATAACTCAAATCCTATTTATTATATTGACAGTAGGCAACAAAAAACTCTATTATAAAATATAATACAAAAAGCTGAGTTTTAAACAGTTTTTAAACAAATTTTAAATAGACTGAGTATCTTTTGAATGAACAATACGTTACAAAGAGTTATCCTATATATTATTTCTAAAAGGTGTTTTTTTGTCGGTACGCCATAACTTCGTCAATTCTTCATCAAATCCAATGATTGACCACTCATTTTGAAGATATTCTTCTCCTTCACATGCAAAAATAGTCCCATTCCCCTGAAATGTCTGGGGAAAAAGTTATGGAGGAAAAGAAACTTTATTTGCGAATAACTCAAAAAGTATGCATTTCTGGATTGTACCGATGATAATTAGAAAGATTGCTAAATTACCTACAAAACAAAAAAAAAAATCGGTCAATTATTAATAAAGATAGAGTCCATTAGTTTTGGTATACTTAATAATGTCTTCCTGTTCAAAGATATTGCATTTAGGAGTAGAATAGTTTACTACAATTTTTTTCCTGGCTGATATATTAATTTCATTGTTTCTTAAAGGCATTTGGTTGTTCTTACATTTTATTTTTTTTAATAATTTAGAAAATCCCATGGGGATTATTTTTCCTTTATTACTTTTATTATCTTTCCAGTCAGTGTTTAAAAATAGATCCTAGCAAAGCAATTTGTACAAATATTTTGGTCTATTATGTTTAATGTTTATATATGTAATGGACCGAGGAAAAAATATTAATTCCATCTTTACATAATACATATGATGATGATGATTATATAATTTTCCTAATCATCCCAAATCATACACCATTTTTTTTTTCTCCAAAACAAACCCTAATCAACCTTTTCAATGTTTTTAATCATTGCTGGAATAATCAGTGATTTTCGAAAATATATTCTAGAAGTAAAGAATTTCTTAATTTATGTTTTAAAAAAATATTGGTTTTGGTATTAAAATTGAAAAAGAAAATATTACTTTATGGATTTCCGGAATTTTTAAAAATAATTATGAAGGTTCACATTGGAAATAAACGATTGATATGAAATATATTTTAATCTTTAATCTACGAATAAGCTGAGAAACATATATATATTTAATTTTTTTAAACAATTTTTTCAGTTATTGTATGGTATGAGCGAGTTCCTAAACTCAGCGCTGACAGCACGCGCTGAAACCCGGAACTGCTGAGTGCAAGTAGTGTGTAAGTGAGGTGGCAGGTCATACAACTTACACTACCTATCGGGTAAACGCAGAACTACCTAATACCATCCTACTTAAATTTGTTACGACACTCAAGTACAGAAGGCAGAACTGTTTTATGTCTTTCAAGTAATCTTGTGTATTAGAAACGGTGCTTTTCTCGTGTTCTTCGTTTTTTCTTGTTTTAAATCAGTCAGACATTCACGTCAAGAGGTCTCAAATTAAAATAAAAGCATAAAAAAAAAAACTAAAGAAAAAAGAAGTACATCTGGAGGTAAGATATAAAGAATTTTAGACGATTTAATGATTTACATAAAAAGTTCTATTAGCATAAACGTATATTGACACTAGAATTTAATTTTTAATCTACACCATAATAAAGGAATATATTTATTTAAGAAAATATAATAAACTAAAATTTATAATTTAATTATATTTCCATTATGAAATTGCGACATATTATCCAGATCATTAAATCCATTGTCCATATTTTTTATTTATTTGTATCATTTAAATCTCAACCACTCGAATTAAAATAAAAGCATAAATAAAAGAAAGGAAAAAAAGTACATCTGGAAGTAAGATATAATGGATTTTAGACGATTTAATGGTCCACTTAAAAAGTTCAATTAGCACAAACGTATACTGACACTAGAATTTAATTTTTATTTTATACCAAAATAAAAGAATATATTTATTTATTTATTTAAGAAAATATAATAAACTAAAATTTATAATTTAATTATATTTCCATTATGAAACCGCGACATATCATCCAAATCATTAAACCCATAGTATACATTTTTTTTTATTTATATCATTCGATATAATTATTAACTATGTTAAATTGTATTCTTATATCTTAAATACTATTTGTGGTATTAATTTTACTCATTTTAGGAAAATTCATAACTTGCGATTTCAATCATTTTGACAGAACGATTTTGAGGCATCATTATATTTTTAAAACCTATAGAATGAATAAAAAAATCATAAAAGCACCCTTAGCGAGGCTTCAAAATATTTTGCAGAAAAATGTAAAATTTGAAGATAAGATTTAATTCACATGTAGTGCAGTAACTGTTCTTTTTTAATTAATAATATGTAAACCTATGACCTCATGTCCCACAGTATCCTTTAATAATACCCCACTTATCCTTGTTGAACAAATCCGATACCTTGGACTTCATTGGGACAAACGTCTAACTTGGAATCCTCATACCAGACTGAAACGACAAGAAACCGCTCGACGTTTCCGACTACTCCAACACTTACTAGACAAACGGTCTAAACTTCCCCTTAATTACAAAAAACTCATATACTTGACTATAATAAGACCTATTTGGACTTACGGAGTTGAGCTATGGGGCTCCACTAAGCCATCGAATTCCTCTCGCATCCAATCCTTACAATCCAAAATCCTTCGTAAAATCCTCAGTGCTCCTTACTTTGTCACTAATAAAATAATCCATAAAGACCTCAATGTTCCATATGTTTCCGATTTGGCCAAATCCAGATACCTATCCTTCCATAATAAACTTCATAACCATCCGAATCCTCTTGTTTCTAACCTTGCTTCCTCTTCGATTCCTGATAACCCTCCGAGACGTCTGAAAAGAAGATGGCCTCGTGATCTTCTCATGTAGACAAATTATTAGAGTGCTACCAGTGGGTAGTTTCTCAACAAGCGTGTTTCATGTAATAATATTTCTCTGTACAAATTTACTTGATGTATTCATACTAATACAGTTGTAAATATCATAATAAAAGTTAAAAAAAAAATTAATAATACATAACGTACGAATTAATAGAAACTATAAGGTAAAAAAAAATATTCCTGTAACTAGATTTTAGGGAAAAATTATTGGTGATTATTTATCGAACATGAAGTAATTTGTGATTAATAATAAATATCTTAATTTTTCAAATTATTAATTTCTCAGCGATGAAAAGACTTTTTTTTTTATATAAGCAATGAAAAAAAATTATTTAAGTCTATATTAGACATAATCTTTTATTTATATTCCTCTTTGTGGCAACTGTTACATTAGGAATATAACCGTTTGGAAATAATAGAACGTTGTATAATAATTTGCAGCGTTTTTATTTGTACATCATTCTCAGCTAATATGGATCTCTGGGTAGTTCAGTTAATATGTTAAGGTGTTCATTTGTTGTTTGTTTTTGTGTTCTTTTCTTTTTTCTTTTTATGAACTCAAGCGAGAACAAATTACTTTTCAAATTTCACATCATGTTTAGCCCTCCGTAGAGGTAACCCCTTCCTCGAGATTGGCCCACATCGGATCAGACCCGAGAACACGTGAAGACAATAAACCACCCTAAGAGAGCCGAGGACCAATCGGAATTAATGAACCTGATTTAGCAGAGCCAATGAGGGCAGACGAGAGATGGTAAAATATCGTCCATCGGGAGTGCCCTATACGGCCGGGTTACGAGCTGAAGACATTATGGACCCGGAGGCTACTAAAGTTAATGGTAGTATTCCCGGTCACAGTTTGAGCCCTAGGTAATGAGCTGCGTCTTCCAAGCTGTCGTAATCATCTCCTCTCTTATCGTAAACCGCTGTCCCCTCTGATGGGAGGGAGATTGGGCGTGATAGGTGGTCTCCGATCCGTTAGGGAAGCTATAATAAAATAAATAAATACAATATATTCTATATTAAATATAGAGCAAGTTACTATTTATTTATTTATTTTTTTTCAGTTATTATTAGAGAACTTGTAGATCATTTGCCGCCTTACCCAGCATCCTCCTTTGCCTATCTTGGAATATTACTTTATTTGCATGCTGCTCTATTTTGTCTGTGTTGATTCGATCTGGATTCCATTCTCTTGCCAACAATATTCATTGCCAAAAAGAAAAGTATACAAAAACAAACAACAAATGAACACCTTAACATATTAACTGAACTACCCAGAGATCCATATTAGCTGACAGTGATATACAAATATAAACGCTGCAAATCATTACGCAAATTTTTATTATTTCCAAACTGTTATATTCCTAATGTAACACTTGTCACAAAGAGGAAAATAAATAAAAGATTATACCTAATATAGGCCTAAATATTTTTTTTATTACTTATATAAAAAAAAAGTTTTTTCATCGCTAAAAATTAATATGTTTATTAATAATAATAATAAAAGGCTTAGCGAACCCGAAGGTTCGATGCCGACACCACCAATCGCTTATTACACACCTCCCTCCACCGTTCGCCGTCCAAACCCAGTCCCTTCAGATCGGCTTTAATGCAATCTTCCCACCTTCGCTTCGGTATACCCCTCGGACGCTTACTATTCGCCACAGCAAATATTAACCCTTTAGGAATTCTCTCGTTACTAAGTCCAACAACTTTACAAGCCCATTTGATTCGCCGCGATGAAATTATCTCAATTATATTACCCGGATACATGCACGCAATTTGGCGTTGTGTAACCGTCTGAACTCTCCGGTTAACTCATCCTTCTTCGGTCCGAATATTCTACGCAATACTTTATTTTCAAAAACCCTAAGACGCTGCTCATCCCTTAATGTAAGCGGCCAAGTTTCGCACCCATGAAGAACTGTAGGCAAGTTAATTGTTTTATAGATTCTAATTTTTAAGTTCCGGGACAAGAGGCGCGAACTAAGTAGTTTTGTCACAGAAAAATAACAAGCATTTCCTGCCTTCAGTCTAACCTTAATTTCTTCTTCAATATGTTTATTACTAATCACAAATTACTTTATGTTCGATAAATAATCACGAGTAATGTTTACCAAAAATTTAGTTACAGGACTACTTTTTCTTACCTTATAGTTTCTATTAATGTATTAATGTATCTTAGGTATTATTAATTAAATTATAAAAAGAACAGTTACTGCACTACATGTGAATTAAATCTTATATTAAAATTTTACATTTTTTCTGCAAAATATTTTTGGAATCTCGCTCATGGCTGATAACGACAGAAGCATTTAATGTCCACATATGTTTCTATGTATTTTTGATTCATTCTGTAGGTTTTAAAAATATAATTATGCTTCAAAATCGTTCTTTCGAAATTATTGAAATCGCAAGTTATGAATTTTCCTAAACTACATAAAATTAATACAAATAGTATTTAAAATAAAAGAATACAATTTAAGATAGTTAAAAATTATATCGAATGATATAAATAAATAAAAAAATGTATACAATGGGTTTAATGATCTAGATAATATGTCACGATTTCATAATGGAAATATAATTAAATTATAAATTTTAGTTCATTAGATTTTCTTAAATATATATATATATATATATATATATATATATATATATATATATATATATATTCTTTTATTATGGTATAAATTAAAAATTAAATTCTATTGTCACGTTTGTGCTAATAGGACTTTTTATATAAACCATTAAATCGTCTAAAATCCATTATATCTTACCTCCAGATGTAAGCTTCCTAATCGATGTATGTACTATACATCATGTGGCCAAAGGTGGCCTTCAAAAATTTGGCGTAACCTACATCCCCACATTTTTAAAATAACGAGGTTACATAGGACAAACGGCTCAATATTTTTTCAGGCCACTTTTTTTCTCCATTTCGTGGTCAAATTATCGATCCAAGTGGAAAGCAAATGAGTATTTACGAGTTTTTAGTACCTAATTAAATAGATAAAATTTGTCCCCCTCCAAATTGAAAATGCCCCAATGGCAAGAATTTTTGTATTTTACGATGAGACGAAACTGTTTACAAAGCTTCAGGCGGATGCTAATGCTTAGATACAAAGGGATATGGATCATTATCATTTAATAATAAAACAAATAGATAAATATGGATAATAAATAATTTACATCTGACCCTTAAGATGTTAATTATTAACTATAATGGCATTGTAAAAAACATAAAAGTATTGTAATCTGTATACTAAAACTAAGATTGATAGGAAATAAAAAATAAAAATATATATTTAAAATAATGCATAAAGAAAAAGTAAACCTTGGAACATACATAATTACCCAGAGTCTGATTGAATTACAAGAAGGAATTGGAATAAGAGAGTTTTAAGTATGGATGACATGGTATGGTATGGTGTTTGGCGAATTTTAGACGCGATGAAATTACATAAAGGTGGTAAAACGGACAATAAAGGAGTATTGAAATGAGGCAGTCAATAAATTACAAGGCGTGTCATATTTCTCAATAAATAAATAAATAAAAACAGAAGAATAATGGACCATGACGTTCATGAGAATATGTAGACCACAGAAATTATTATATTGTATATTTAATTTATTTTTTCTCATCTTTTTTCTTTTGTCATACATACATATATTTCTACACATCTATGAATTAATATAAATAGAAACATTTTTTTTTTTTTTTTTTTGTTTATTTAATGGAATTTACAACTGTATACAAATACAACAAGTAAATATGCGCAAATATAAATAATGACATGTACAGGCTTGAAGAGTTACTACCCAGTGGTAGCACTCTCTAAATAATTTTAAGTAAGAAGATCACGAGGCCATCTCCTTTTCAGACGCCTAGGAGGATTATCAGGAATCGAGAAAGAAGCAAGAGTGGAAACAGGTGGATTTGGATGGGACTGAAGTTTATCATGAAAAGATAGATATCTGGCTCTAGCTAAATCAGCGACATATGGTACATTAAGGTCTTTATGAATGGTTTTATTTGTGACAAAGTATGGAGCATTAAGGATTTTACGGAGGATTTTGGATTGTAAGGATTGGATACGATAGGAATTCGATGGTTTGGTGGAGCCCCAAAGCTCAACTCCGTATGTCCATATAGGTCTTATTATAGTTATGTAGATAAGTCTTTTGTAATTAATAGAAAGTTTGGAGCGTTTGTCTAGTAAGTGTTGGAGCAGTCGGAAAATAGAAACATAAATTATTATTTGTATCTTTATTTATTTTATACTAATTTTAAATATAAAAATATAGCGAAAAGTAAGATTTGTTTACAGGATAATAATGGTTTCTTGTCTAGAGCCGCATGATAAAATTGTTTTTATGCTTCAACTCCTAGAAGAATGGATCGCCCGGAGAACAGAACAGGTCCGGTAGAGCGCAAACCGATCTAAGGTTGATATTTGTGAAAGAGTTATCTTCAACAAACAAACGCAAAACCAACAGCCGCGCCTAACCACTCGCTAAAAGCTTAAGAAGCCGCCCTTAACAAACTCCAACCCCCTTGTTTGAACAGCAACCCTCTCGGAGGGGGGGGGGGATAGGTTAGGAAATTGGAAACAGTACAATACAGATAGCTATTGTTTTTCGTTACTAGGATCTTTTGAAGTAATAACGTTTTTAAACTATGAAAAGAGTTCCAATACCATACTTGAGGAACTGCGGCTGGAAGGCCGCATGTGGCCTTTGCGACGAAGTTGCGGCTTTCAAACGTTTTCACAGGATATCAATAAACCTAATGCTAGAATTAATTTCTTTTTATTTATCACATTAACAGCTGTATTAATAGATAAAATACATTTAGTAAATTTGATAACAGAAAATAATAACATGAAATCACTTGTTGTGAAACTACCCACTGGTAGCACTCTAAAAATGTATTATGAAAGGAGATCTCGAGGCCATCTTCTTTTCAGACGCCTCGGAGGGTTGTCAGAGATTGAAGAGGAAGCAAGGATAGAGACGAGATGATTCGGATGGTTCTGAAGTTTATTATGGAAGGATAGGTATCTGGGCCTTGGGCCAAATCGGAAACATAAGGAACATTAAGGTCGTTATGGATTATTTTATTGGTGACAAAGTAAGGAGCATTCAGGATTTTGGATTGTAAGGATTGGATACGAGAGGAATTCGATGGCTTAGTGGAGCCCCAAAGCTCAACTCCATAAGTCCAAATAGGTCTTATTGTAGTCATGTATATGAGTCTTTTGTAATTAACTGGAAACTTAGAGCGTTTGTCTAGTAAGTGTTGGAGTAGTCGGAAACATCGAGTGGTTTCTTGTCGTTTCAGTCTGGTATGAGGATTCCAAGTTAGACGTTTGTCCAAGTGGAGTCCAAGGTATCGGATTTGTTCAACAGTTATAAGTGGGGTATTATTAAAGGATACTGTAGGACAGGAGGTCATAGGTTTATGGCGAAGGGTAAAGGTGATTTGATGGGATTTATTAGAATTTATTTTAATCCTCCAGTTTCGACACCATTCTTCAAGGTTTGTGATATGTGATTGAAGAGTTTGGGATGCAATGGTTGGATCATTATTAACGGATGGGACACATGTATCATCGGCATACGTGGTAATAACAGTGTTAGGATGGGTTGGGATAGTCAGCTGTATGAACTGTATAAAGGATACTAAGTTGAGGAACACCAGCGGACTGGGAAGCTAGAATTAATTAATATTTAACTTTAAAAGTAACGAAAATTAAATTGAATGTGAGTATTTTGTGATAAATAAAAATAGCAACGATTAAATATAAAGAATTATCGTGGCCTCCATTAGCACTGCCTAGCCACACTGCAGCCTCTAATGGAAAAAAAGTTTCCCTCCTAAACTATGGTACGCAAGAACTAAAATAATTATTAGAAAATTAAACTAGAACATACCATATATAAATACACTTGCATGTTTATACACTTATATGTTCCATATCCACCCTAGTTCAAAGGTTCATTCGAAAAATTCATATCTCCATCAAAATTTACTGTGTTATTATTATAGATAATAATAATTTTAAAAAACCTGTATCATTACAAGTGATGAAGCGTTTAGGTTTCAGTACTATATTGAGAAGTAGTGTTTCTTGGAGAACAGCTGAGGAAGGAGGTGATTTGACCAAGGTCACGCTCAACCCCCAGTCTTCCACCTTAATTAATTAATTAATTCATGAAGAAAAGCCACTTTATGTAGATTGGATGTGCTCCAGAAAGGTCTCCCTCCAGAGTCGACCCATGTCCGTTGCAACAGAATAAATAATTTATTTATCATCAGCTGGATTCGAACCCGGTATCATGAGCTCTAAACGTCGCTCAGTGAAACGAGTAATGGAAAACTCGCGATCTATTTGAATTTTTTTTTTTTTTGTTTTATTGATACCTTGTGTTGTTCGTGAAGTTTCCGAGAATATTTTCAGTAGGCACAGTATACATTTTTTACCGTTTTTATTGAATAATTCATACTAAGTAAAGAGTTCATACTCAGCATATTTATAGTAAATATAAATAAATAAAACAAAATAGAAAAAAAATAAAAAATAATTAATAATAAAAAAATATACAAAATAAATTTTAATAATAAAAAGTGAATAACAGAGACGTACCTATATTCAATTTTTATTGTTATAAATTAATTTATATAAAACGGTATTAAATATGTAATTACAATTAATAAAAATAATCAATGGCGCATATATGTCTGGAATAAAATTGAAAAAAAAAATACAAATTGTATTCACTATTATTTAAGCTAAAATGGTTAATCAATTATCTTTTTGAATAGTAAAATTATTTTCTGAACTATTTTTTCAATTTTTTTACAGATCAAAAATTTTTTTAAAATTTCGTATTGATTATTATATCAAAATAATAATTATAATAGAAGACCCAAGAATTTTGGGGGGAACAGATTATTTTAGATAACGGGTCCATTGATGTTCAACACATAATCAAGAATGGATCTTTTTGGGGGAATTTTCGAATAAGAAAACGTATTGTTTTGACACGTTGCCTAAACGTGAATGGGAGGATACCCCAGGAGCCGAAGCAGTTGTGGATGTCATTAACCGTAACAGTTACCAAATTACAATAATAAAACAGGGACCCAGGAAGTGGCCAGGTACAAAATAAGCGACAATCACCTGGATTGTTCCCCGACTTTCTCAATGGGCCGAATTCATTCATTTTTTTCCTCTCCTTCAATGGCAATTCACTCGTCCATTTAATAATAGCACCGAGTCCTTTTGGCCCTTGGTATAATGGAGCTGGAGTACTACAGGAGATAATGCTAGGGGGTCTGCATTCATTCATGTACCCCTAGATCTGTGGTCTATCTGGATCAGGGCGATTTGTGTAATGCCAGCTATAATATTGTTATTTATTTTAATGATTTCCCGTCGTTAATATAAGAAATTCAGCTTCATTAAAAAAAAAAAAACTAAACAAAAAAACATACGGTATATCACTGATTCTATATTCTTATAACCCTAATATTCTTCTTGTAATTGCAGATAAAAAATAAAAGAAAGTAAAATAAAAATAAAAGCCATATCTTCAAGAATTACAACACAAAACAATTAATGAAATAAAATTCATCGAAAAATCTTTATTTATTCAGGAACTTAAGTACATTTAGAAAAAAATATGGGAACATTCTAAGCAAGCCAAAACAGCGTGGTCATATTGCCTTATACATCATTCATAAACAAAATACTAAATATTATTACAAAAATAGTAACATATAAGTAAAATAAAAATAATAAATTAAAAAAACTAACTTTAGACCACACGATGGAAGTGCAAACATCAAGGCAAGATTAATAAAATGAAATATAACTTATAAGTAATAGCTCATAATAAAAAGGATGAAATGTTGAACAATTTCCTCCCTTACAGTATGCAAGTCCGATTTTCAGTTTCTGAGATATTTTAATCCACATCTTCCATACAACTGGTTATCATTTGGGTTTCAACACTATTTTTTACTTTTCGCCTCTCTAACAAGGCGTCATTTAATTTATGACTGAAGTGAGGGTAGGTTTACTGGTCAGGAAATATTAGGCGTTCCTTGCTATTTGTCATAAAAATAATCGTTAAAGATTAATTAATGCTTTTTTGATTTATTGGTTAATCCCGATATATCATAAATTTTGGAATATTTATTTGTTTGTGTTGCTATTTGTTTCATCTATTTCTATATTAAAAATGTTATAAGATGTAATTCATTTATCGAAAAGATATTTTGGTAATAATCGTCATATTTTTTATATTATAGATTATTAAATGTACATCTATGAAATCTTCCCCTTTTCACACCTCCGATAGTAAGTGTTATTATAAGTAAATTCTTGATTAGGGATAATTAAAATAGACTTAATTATAACACTCAATTACCTAATAAACCATGGTTTTAATTTTTTTTTTAAGTCTATTAACTTACAGATGGACAGCCCAAACAAATTTTGTTGTAAATTTTGACACCGATCTACAATGATTCATAGAATTTATACTACGAATAAAATCCAAAAATGGATGGAACGAGTATTGTTAAATTATGTGGAAATATAGAAAAAGTCCAGGATGACAACTACAAATTTAATGTTAAGATTATTGTTTAATTAGTGGAAATATAGAAAAAGTCCAGATGAACCAAGACTTAATATATACCTATTTCTACCATAGCGGGTCAAATGACCCGACTTTATGTTTCATGCTTGAATGTATGAAATATGGATGTTAGGAAGGAAATAAAAATATAAATTAAATTTATTATGATTAAACAAAATAGTATGTTGAGCATTTCTATTACAAAAGCAAAAAATAAAAACTTTTAATTCATAGTTCATCGCAGTGGTGCTCTTCCAGGTGTGCCACCTACTTGCATTTGTTGCCAAACAGATCCATCATTCGCAACATTTTCTTCATTTATTTCTACTTCACTTTCTTCCGAACTTGTGAGTAATCTTATTCTTTTTCGGCCACTACATACATTCACAATATTTTCCTCTTCATCGTCAGTATCTGTAGAATCAAACTCATTTTTATTTGCAACCGATATATCTTAATTTTCAGAAAATTCATCTTCACTAATTTCTGAAAACTCTTCGCCAATATTATTTATATCTTCTAAGAACTTGTACTGTCTGGTTTGCTTCGACATTTTTCTGGGTAAAAAATGATCTGTATTACTATAGCTATCAAAATAAAATATAAGCTAGATACTTACCAAGACTTTCAATTTTTGCCACTTTTTCTTACACTAAAAAGCTATTTTCAATCTAAAATTTGATATTTTCTTGAAATTATTCTGAGCTATTTTCGTTGAACTACTTTACGCAACAGTCTTTGGAAGAATGTGCAACTTACTGACCACAAATATGACAAGATAATCTCATAAAACAAAAAAATTCTCTCCGGGTCAAATGACCTGTTGTGGTAGATATCGGTATACAACAAGGATTACTCAGAATAAACAAAACAAAACAAAACAAAAATATTTTTATAAATGTACATTAATTACTTAGAAAAAGTCATGAAGTCAAATGTGCAAACGCAATAAAATTATACGTGCATTTTCAATGGAAAAGTTCAAAATGGGTCATTTGACCCGTTATGGTATGTTTAGTGTTAAAGGTATACATGCCATAGCTTTCTATTCGAAATATTTCCATAATATTCAAACAATATTTTTTGTCTATTTTTCTTTTTTTCTTTTATTAATTGCGACTATTCTTTTCCCAGACCCTCTCCTATAACTTCCACATGCCATCCAGAAGATGAAGAGACCCGAGAGGTCGTTGAAGAGGACAGCGCCAGTGAGCCTACGAGAACATTAATACCTGGAGTCAATGGCCCATTGTTCATGCGGACCGCAGCGAGCTCCGTGGCCCAGATCCATCCTCATCTTTTGACATCATCCGTAGCGACTGCGTCATCGCGCCGCGTCCGGGGATTTTTCATCCTCGATGACGCCCATCCTTGCCGAAGGCGGTGCCGCCATCTATCTGTCTGCCGCGTCCAAATGGTACATTGTTCTCAGCCGGAACGTCTCGGCGCCGCGTGGTATATGTTCTTTTAGGTTACAAAATACACAATTACATCATTTTTTTTTTTACACAACTAGAGGTGAATCTCAAATTATTCTTTAACATACCTTAAGAGTCCTTGGTACAGGCCTCCTTTTATCAAATCATTAACATCCCGCAGAAACTTGGTAAATTAAAGTTACTATTTTCATCTTTATTTTGTATTTATTCCATAGTGAGTTTTTTTCTTTTAAGCAAACCTAAATAACATACATTATATTCTCAAACAGGGATCGTTTACTTTTTGAAAAATATTGTATTTTTTTTTTTGTTAATATGAAAGTTATAAAGTTAATTTAACTCCGTTTGACTTAACAGTATTACTTCTTAATTTATAATTATTTAAGTATTGTTGTAAACTAGTAGTGTTGCCCAAATGCGAGACCGAGACGAGTCTTGCAAACTCAGTATTAATCCTGGTCTTGGTCTTGCACAAGACTCTCGCAACAGTCTTGCACTTACTTATTACCTGATTACTATAGAGATATTACTGTAATTTTTTAAACAGGAGAAACCTAACTAAGTCCGAATGAAAAATTAGAGGAGTTAAATGCAAAAGTATATTGTAATTATTAACATATAGTAACTAAGATTGCCAAGTATTAGTAACTATTTTGCCTTAATTTTTATTTAAAAAATCGATTTTTTTTTTTTTTAACTAGTCCTAGTCTTGGTCTTGCAGCAGTTAGGTGGCCTTGGTCCTTGGTCTTGCTAAGTGCAAGACCAAGACCGATTTTGAGCAACACTATAAACTAGAGGCGAAAATATGGCTAAAATCAGAACTATTCTATTTTATAAACTTCACTCCTACGCCCTAATCTAAATAGTCCATGCTACAGACACCTTTTTATGGAATTATTAACATCCGCCTAAAACTTGGTAAATAGCTTCATCAAATCGAAACCTACAAATATTTTATTTAAGAAAATTCTCGGAATTTGGGTGTTTTCAATCGTGAGGTCGACAAACTTTGTCTATTTACTAGGTACTAAAAACTCGTAAATATCCATTTGTTTTCCACTTGAATCGTAAGATAATTTGAGCACAAAGTCGAGAAAAAAGGTAATCTTCAAAAATATTGAGCAATTTGGCCTCGTGATCTACACTCCCAAATTGTCAAAATAACGAGGTTATATAGGTCAAACGACCCAATATTTGTGTAGGCCACCTTTTTTTTTTATCGATTTCGTGATCAAATTATCTTACGTTCCAAGTGGAAAGCAAATGGATATTTAAGAGTTTTTAGTATCTAATTAAACAGACAAAGTTTGCCAACCTACAGATCGAAAACGCCCCAGTACCAAGAATTTTCGTAAATAATATATTTTTAGGTTACAATGAGATGAAGCTATTTATCAAGTTTTAGCCGGATTTTAATAACTTATAAAAACCTGTACCACGCCCTATAACTTAAATATGGACCTGAAGTTTATTAAATAATTTTTTTTTTTTTTTAAAGTGGGGTATCTGCAGACCTGTTTCTGTTTTTAAAAAAATCCTAAATTATTCGCGATTTTTTTTATCATCCTCCAACTAAACAGTTATCCCACTTTTAGAAAAGCTTCTTTATTTAATTAACTTTCGTCCATATTAATTAAGTTGAGGTTTATTGGTAAAAAAAAATGTAATTCACCACAAGTACTATAAAAAAATAATGTGATTTTATATCCTGTCACCTAAAAATACCTGTTTACCAGCACAAAATACTGTTATTGTCGGAAATCTTATATTTTTTGTTTTTCCATTATTAAAAAAACATAATTGCCTAAATATACTTTTGTGTTCATAAATAAATAATGGTGAAATAATTTTTCAAAGATGTTTCATAAAATGTGATTATCGAAATAAATAACGTTTTTGGAGTGCTACCAATGGGTAGTTTCTCAACAACTGATTTCATGTTACTATAACCCTTTGTTCACATGTAGTTAATGTTTTTTTTGTTAGTAAATACTGTTGTAAATATCGTAAATAGAAAAAATTAACCGTTGAGATTGTATAGATTGTCTTTACACTAAAACTCTTCCATTCCTGGGTAGAGATCTATCACTATCTTTCTTGACAATGCCTTTATGTATTTTCAAGTTAATTTTATTAATTAGGTTAAGCTTTACTATGTTTATGTCAACATGTTTTTTTTTCTTAAATAATTTTAATTACTCTACTATCCAGCTTCCTTTCTCAGACACAGTCCGGTACCTTGGCTTTCTCTTAGACAGACGACTAACCTGGAACCCTCATACTAGACTTAAAAGACAGGAACTAAACCGACGATACGGACAACTATACCGGCTACTAAACAGAAAATATAAACTCTAAATTGAAAACAATTTACTGATCTACAAGACAATACTGGAACCTATTTGGACTTACGGTCTAGAACTGTAGGGAACAGAAAAAATTTCTAACATCAAGCGCATTCAATCCTTCCATTCAAAAGTCCTTCTAACAATAGTCGATGCTCCTTTCTATGTAACCAACAAAACCCTACATCATGACCTCAACATCCCATTTGTCCTAGATCTTATTCCAAAAAAATTCTCCAAATTTCAGTAGAACCTACGTATCGTCCAAATCCTCTTGCACAATCCCTATCAAGCACCACTCATCCCTATAATCTTCCAAGAAGGTTGAAACGGCAGTGGCCTCGCGAACTTTTGTAGGTTGTATATATCGGAGTGCTCTCGATCAATCTCCGCTGGTTATAGTACCAGTGAGGCGGTTGAGAGAGTAGCGCAGGGTTCTCCTGGAGCTCCCTCGCCTGATTGTATATAGTGTATGTAGGTATGTTTGTGTTTTTTGCTTAGTTTTAATATATTTTTATTGCATATATTTTTTGATTATTATTTATTGTAATTTTAATTCTATTTATTTTATATTTTTGTACATATAGTGTGAATGTTATTCTACCACACTATAACTAGTGTCCATGTGACAGATTGTTGTAATACTCAATAAATAAATATTAAAAAAAAAAATTATCAGCTAAACTACTACTTTACTTTAATTACTAAAGAAAAAGAAAAAAAAGAGGAGTTTACAGGATCTAAATATACATATACAGATAGGTTATTAAAAAATATACAGATAGGTTTTCTCAGTAGTAGATATTATTTTTTGGACTTGGAAGCTGTTTTGCCTCGAGAGTTAAGAGCTACCGAACTGAACTTTTACTGGCCACAAATCTCCTGGAAGCAGTAAAGACTCCTGCCAACTCCCGCCACTTTCCAATTTCCCGCTCAGGCCTTAAAGAGCCCCGCGCCAACATTTCGGCTCCTCCTAGGAAACGTGATAAAATTAATTTACAGCTTATAACCAGGTCCCAACAAGCGTCCGAGAATTACAGTTCGCCTCTCGTCGGCGGGTCGTGGAGAGGAGAAAATAAAATTAAAAAATGGCCAGAGTGGACTCCCGGGTGCCGCTAATGCCTTACGGATTCCCTTCCATGATGGGCAGATCGTAACGCCACTTTAAAAGCGCCATATTTTCTCGTTACAAGTCTATAAACTGTTCCAGCGGGGGCCGAGGTCGTTAATGTGACTGAAATATCTCCCGGGGAACGATATGATTCCATTCCTTAAAACCCCTCTTGATCATGAAGGAGAATCCCGAGACCAACTACAGTATGAGCGAACCTTACCGTGAATAATTAATTAATTAATTTAAGTGAATGAACTTGAAGACTCAACTAATGAATGAGTACTCACATCTATTTGAAAAACGTTGGATAGTGGACAAACATTCATGTTATGAAAAAAAATCTTGATCATCCTAAACTTTCAATGTTGATACTCCATAGCTCTCGAACCTAGACCTAAGAAGGGTACTCTTTCAGAAGATCGTTTAAGAAGTAGAATGTCAATTTTAGTCTAGGACGTTTAGTCCCCTAAGAACACCAAACATGTACAATGAAAATTACATTATAATTAAATTAATAGGGTCACTTAGTTTGTGTAACATTTTTTAAAATTTATTTATGGTATTTACAACTGTATTAGTATAAATACGTCAAATAAATGTGTACAGAAGAATATAATTACATGAAAGTATGCATTATTAACACTCTAATAATATGTCTAAATAAGAAGATCACAAAGCCATCTTCTTTTCTGTCGCCTCTGAGGGATATCAGAAATCGAAGAGGAGGCAAAGTTATGAAGTTTATTATGGAAGGATAGGTATCCGGACTATGCCAAATCGGAAACATGTGTAACATTAAGGACTTTATGGATTATTTTATTTATGACAAAGTAAGGAGCCTTGAGAATTTTGGATTTGGATTTTAAGGATTCATAACGAGAGGAGGTTGATGGTTTAGTGGAGCCCCATAGCTCAACTCCGTAAGTACAAATAGGCCTTATTATAGTAATGTACATGAGGCTTTTGTAATTAATTGGAAGTTTAGAGCTTTTGTCTATTAAGTGTTGGAATAAGCGGAAACGTCGAGCAGTTTCTTGACGTTTCAGTCTTGTATGTGGATTCCAAGTGAGACGTTTGTGGAGTCCTAGGTATCGGATTTGTAGGATAGGAGAAAAAATATAACTAAGTTCACTCTTTCCTCTACTTTTAACAGAAATTATTGGTTGACAATAGTAGGATAGGTATCGGAGAAAAAGATTTGAGTACGATTTATTTGATAAACTAAAGCATTGTAAGCCGGCTTAAGGTAGATCAGTGTAAAAATTTCAATACCCTCTAATATTGCAGAGTAAAAAGGCTATGGCAAAAAGTTTTTGATCAATTTAAAAAAAACAAAAACGAAATCAATTTGTTTCTTCATGAGCACTTGTAAAGATATAAAAACTTTTCTGAAATAGATAGGAAAGTAGTGTGAGCGAACACACCAAAATAATGAAAATTATTATCATTCATTTAAAACTTCGTGAGGGGCTCCACCAAACCTTTAAATTCCTCTCGTATCCAATCCTTACAATCCAAAATCCTTCGTAAAATCCTCAATGTTCCTTACTTTGTTACAAATAAAATTATCCATAATGACCTTTAATGTTCCTTATGTATCAGATTTGGCCTAATCCAGATATCTGTCCTTCCATAATAAACTTCATAACCATCCCAACCCTCTTGTTTCTAACCTTGCTTCCTATTCAATTCCTGATAATCCTCCGAGGCGTCTGAAAAGAAGATGGCCACGTGATCTTCTAATATAGACATATTATTAGAGTGCTACCAATGGGTAGTTTCTCAACATGTGTTCCATGTCATTATATCCATGTGCGAATTTACCAGATGTATTTTTTGTATACAGTTGTAAATATCATATAAATAAATAAATAAATTTTAAAAAACTTCGTGAATGGCTTCATGATTCTCTAAACTCCACGTTTTTTATTTACGCAAATTATCTCGAAAATTAATTAATTTAAGGTGATAGAAAAACTCATGAATACCCATTTAATAATTTTATTTTAAAAAGTCGAGAAAAAAAGGTGGCCTACAAAAATATTTGTCCGTTTTGCCTATACAAACTCGTTAGTTTGGTAGTGTGGAGTTGGAGATCAGACAAAACTATTGTTTTTAACGGCCTCAATTTTCTTTATTTTGTGATCTAATTATCTTACGTATCTAGTGAATAGTTAAAGCCATTCAGAATGTTTTAGATGGAAGAAAATAATTTGATAAAAAGAGATCTGTACCACGGACCATATTTATCTCGAGTTATCTCGAAGATCGGAGGAATTTGAGACCGATGTTAGTAGTCTCCTCGCTCGATGGACTTGTACTCTTTGATTGAATGTATCGCCGTTTTCCAAAACAGTTATCCTATTGAAGACAAGCTCTCGCCTGGAGCAGGTAGTGCCCATAATATCTGGAACCTGGAGGACCTGGCTGGAGATGATTGATAAACAACTAATGACTCCAGCGGCCCCGCACAAAGAACACTCCACGCTCCCCGCGGCGCAACCCTTACCTATAGCGCACCCGCTTCATCTCCGGACCTCTACTGAATCCTTCCTTTAGCAGAAAAAATATCATTATTTATAGTTAATAACTTTAGTGACGCTCGGTCAGTGGTAATCGCGTTTCATTAGTCCCATCATAACTAAGCGGTGTCTCAACTTCCATCTCTAATTGTCCTTACAAGAACACCTGGAAATGCGCGGAATCCATAATTGATGAAGTGGCATCCTCATGAAGAAAGAAGTTTCCCTCTCTGCCAAAATGAAAGTGTTCGAAAGTGAATGAATGAATGAAAATAGTTTTATTATTCTGAGACTGGTGTCCCTTTAGAACATGTTACAAATACAGAATATATATTAATATTTTGGTGTGTCCATAAAATACAATTAAATATTTACAGGATGATTAGGAGTATAATAAAGTTATAAATAATAAAAAGATGTAAAAACGTGTAAATATAAAATATATAGAGAATTTAATTAAGCAAACGAAATATCGATAAATCACAAAATAATCAGAGTATCTGGGTGTACTTACAGCTTAGGTTTTTAAGTGCATTTCGTGATCAATCGATTTGTGAATGGAGTAGGTGTTTGAAGAGGAGAGATTTGAAGGAGGATATCGATTTTGCGTGTCGAATATCTGAAGGTATAGAGTTCCAGAGGGAGACAATTTGTATTAAAAAGGATTTATTAAACGCAGCAGTTCGGTGAGGAGGAGGATACAGGTCGGACGTACTGGATCTGGTGGAACGGGATTGAAAGGAGCGTTTGAATTGTAGGATCTGAGGCAGGTCGCCGTGTTCTAATGTTTTGGTATAGGAAGGTAGCAAGGAAATATTGACGGCGGTAGGACGGATAAAGCCACTTCAACTTGGTGTAGAACAGGGCAATATGCGTATCCCTTGAGATCCCGAAGATAAAGCGGATTGAGCAATTCATTAAACGTTTAAGTTTAGCTTCAAGTTCTCCCGAGAGTCCACCATACACCATGCAGCCATAGTCGATGTGGGGGAAAACAAGAGAGGAGACCAGTTGACGGGTTTTGAACGGAAGAAGATAATATAATAAATTAATAAATAAAGATAATAAAAGATAAAGTGCAACAAGAAGCAAGTGCAAAGAAGTTTCATAAAAAGTATATTCTGCCTGCCTAGAACAGTTCTTGAGATTCAGCGATTCTATGCCCCTTAAAATCCTCCACTTCCTAATTTCCTATCTCTTCTTACCCGCTTTGATTATGGTGACCTTTAATCGATCTTTGGAGACCTCAGCGCTCCCACGTCTCCAGTTGATATACCGACTTGAAGTGACTCTTTCCAGTTAGTATATTTCTTCTCTGAATCTTTATAACCAAAAAACCATTTTACCTTCTTTATTTTATCATCTCTTCTTTCACTGTCCATTCGTTCAACACGAGATCCCAGCCCAGAAAAATGTTTATTCCTTCTCGTAGAACTATTTCCTTTAAAATGTCCTTAGTCATGGGTACTACCTTACTTTGGATTTCCTTACATAACTCCATACGCCAATCCTTTTCCTTAATCTCATTTACACACCATTTGGTTTTCCATCTCCTCAGTAATCTTCCGAACATATGAAGGATTAACATTTTTGTATTTTAGATTTTTGTATTTATCTATAATTTTATATGTTTATTTGTGCTTTTTCTTTATTTTAAATGCAGGATTATATGACAATAAGTAATTTAATCACTTCTTGGTTATTTTCTAATTCTAAACAATTGTTACTTCTATTATTCATTATAATTATTCTTAGAATACTGAATATCCCAGAATAAAATTTACTTATCTTTCTTTCTAGAAAAACCCCAAACCACGCGTAGTTTCTTAACTGCCATACCATAAATTTATATTTATATGCTAAAACTATATCTGACATATATATTAACGGTTTAAGTTCTCAAGAACAAAGAGAGGCCCATCAGAACGCTTACAGAAAAATAATAAATAAATAATTTGCTTGGTATAGTGACAAAGCAGAGATGTATGACAGGGTTCATTATCAGCCATGAGACTTATTTTTAAACTAACCAGAGTTGGAGATAGTTGTCGATGAGTTTTTAGACAACATAAAATCTCAGAGTCAAGTTAAGGGATAGACTTTTATTTTTTTCTCCCCTTACTCTCGCCTTTTCGGTTATATAGGATGTTTTCTGGCTACCAGAGAGGGCGGGGGATTAATGCCAGAATTAAAAGCCTCCCTCTTACCCGGCGCCGGACAAGAACTCCATGTTATCTTCAGTTTATCAGGTTGCCAGACAATGCGTGTTTTACACACGCTTTAGCCTGCTCGGCCACTTCGCCTCGTCGGATTAAGAGCAGTCAAAATCTTCCTCTGACGTTTCAGTCCAAGCAACTTCTCGTATATTAATAATAACACTCTCCGAAAGGGGGCGGAGTGACGGAGCGAGCTAACGCGTGCGTAAAATAAGCGTTGCCGACAACCGAAGTTTATATGATAAAATGATTGGCAGTTCGCGTCTTTAACTTTGGCATTAGTTCTCCGCCCTCTACCCTGGTCGGGAAAAAAGCGAGGAAGGGTCAAAATTAACGAAATCGGATCAATTAATTATAAAAATGCTTCGCTCGTAGGTCACTCGTAATAAGTCATTAAGCTTTGGATGGGACCTATTGCCCCTCCCTACTATTATTCACCATACCTAGCTCCATTTACCACTTATTCTCGTCTCTGTAGAACTCCATGAATGGAAAGCAATTCAAAAACAAAGAGTACATCAAACCACTTAGTTCAGTTTTTTAACAATGAACTCCAGACGCTCTATGAATGTGGCATTATGGAGTTAGTGGAATGTTAGAAACAGGTCATACTAAATATTGAAAGATACATTTTAGATTAAAATAAATCTTATGTCTATAATACAACGATTTTAATACATCCTGAAAAACCGAAAGGACTTATTTTACTGTTAAAAAAAACATATTTTTATTGTTAAAACTGTTTTTTATTGTGATCCTTCTAAAGCTTTAGTTTATTATCGATTAAATATAATAATTAGAAGTTAAGTTGCAATATAAAAATTAATTAAACTATAATATTATTATTAAATAGTTTAGAAAAATACTAACTACAGTCACAATGGTCTCAAGTACTGAATATAGCGATCTAGACAACAAAAGACTTGTTACTTTTATTTCTTCACTATCGAGGTCACTTTTCCTCATTTATCTACTTATCCTCCCATCGAGCTCTTGTCGATCTGATTGAAAATGGAGATTGAGTCTTCTTTGTTCTCTCCCAGCCACGGTTGAGGCTATATTGTAGCAATATGCCTTTATCACAATGATGTGATATTGTCAGCGTAGCCATGGTCAATTTTTTTATTAATGAAATTTACAACTGCATTAAAATAAAAATACAACTAGTAAATATGATGACCTATAAAGGCTTGTAGAGGAACTGACCATTAGAGTAGCACTCCAATAAAATGTAAGCCAATAATAAAAAGATCACAAGGCCATCTTCTTTTCAGACGCCTTAGAGGGCTATCTGAAAGCAAGAACGAAGTGGAAGTAAGGCTAAAAACGAAAGGGTTCGGATGGTTTTGAAGTGTACTGTGGAAGGATTAGTATCTGGATTTGGCCTAATAGGAGTGTATAATGATATGACATGTTCTACATATCATGGGTGATAAATATTCAGTCATTATAAAGTTTTTATTGGTGCCGACGTTTCAACCCAAACATGTGGGTCATCCATCAGGGCGTGATTCGAGTACTGAAGGTATTCAAGTACTCAAATACCTTGCGAGTACTTTCTAATTCCTGCGTCCTGAATATTTATCACCCATATGTATATATATGTAATGGATGATTTTATTTGTGATAAAGCAAGGAACATTGAGGATTTTAAGAACAATTTTGTATTGGGTGAAAGAGAAATTCGATGGAGTTTAATGGAGTCACTTTACATACTACAGTATCGCATAATGGTAGTTAATATTTCAGAATTTTTTTTTCTTGTTTTTCTTTTACTTGAACAAATAAGAAATTACCGATAAAAGAAGTAATAAAAATAATAAATAAAAAAAGTTAGGATGATAGACTGCCCCTGAAGGTTGCCATCACGATAAAATAACAAGCCGGATCCAGGAACCCATTCAACCGAAGGACGGGTCAAATCGTGAACAAGAAAAAAATTAAGCATCTAAAATATAATGTGACTTGAGTATTTATTTTTAATAAGTGAATAGAATTATTGTAATGTCACTTACATAAAAAAAAAACAAATATATAAACTATATAATTATATAAAGTATATATAAACTATAATTTTTTTTTTAAATATAATTTAATATCTTTAAAATATCTATTATATTTAGATAAACCAGAAAATAAATGGATTATTATATACCAAAGCTTGAAATGGAAAAAAACTTTTATTATCGATGGTGTTTCAGTTCTTTTGGAACTAGAACATCTTTCCTTGCAACTTTTCAAGTAAAGGTGTTACAGAACTTTTATTTATGATAAACAACCTTATTTAGGTTTTTCGTGAAATTTTTTGATAATTATTATATTTGTTAAAATCCTATTTAATTTCACAGTATTTTATTTAACATTTAAAACATTTTTAAAAACATTTAAAAATTATTATTTAACGTACGGCCATTTACATTTTTTTTTTTTAAATAAAACATTAGTACTATAAAAACATTATTTATAAAAAAGTATTTAAATATATATATATATATATATATATATAGAATACTACTCAATGATAGTAATTATTTTATTAAATTTAAAATGTTTTGTTTTATTTTCCAAAATTCCACAAAAACTCTTTTCTTCTCCTCATTTTAAATGTTCGTGCCTGATTAAATTACATTCCATATTGAAAGAGATGTACGTAATCCCCCCATCAACTGTTTGCCTAATGTCCTAATTGCAGATGTCCTCGAC